TTTCTCTTTGTGCCTAATGTTGTATCCGGTTAGAGAGAGAGAAAGAGGGCGGATGGGATCTGGCTGGGGTGGTAGTGGGCATCGGGGAGGAGCATGAGAACATGATCCCGAGAGAGATTGTGGTGAGGTTGTGGAGTCGCCGCTGGGTCTGGGGATGATGCGGTGCTCCATATATACATCGTTTGTGCTGTGATGATGGTGAGTGTGGCTGGTAATGGTGGTTATGGAAGAGAGAGGAGGGGATTGGGTTTGATCGGGAAGAAGGGAAACAGAGGTTCTACAGAGAGAAAAAGAAAAGTTTTTGTTGGTTTTTATTATTTTTATTAATATTTTATTCAACTTGTGTTTTAAAAAGATTATTTTATTCTTTTTAGACGGGCATTTAGATGGAATTGGGGAAAACCTAACGGCGGGGGTGAAATTGGCGATTAAATTTAATATGAAGGCTAAATTGGCTGGAAAAAAAATTCAGGGTGGACATTTCGACAAGCCAAATAGTCCAGGGGGGTTTTAGACCCTTTACCCTAAATTTTAATATGGACAAGGTATAGACATGGTGCTTACTGTTTGAGTTGAGATGCTACAAAGCCCTTGAGGCTTAAAATCTAGATGCGATTCAATTTAGTTTTTGAGTATATTTCTTAGCTAATTATCTTTATTTAAATATTTAAACAGTACAGCCGTGCAGCGGCTATACTATTTCAATATTCGAATATATATAAAGAATATAGCCGCTCTGCTATTAAAATATATATAAAGTGTATAGCCGCGCGGCTATACTGTTTAAATATTCGAATATATATAAAGAGTATAGCCGAACGGCTAAACTATTTAAATATTAAAGTATATATAAATGGTATAGTCGCCCGGCTATACTATTTAAATATTTGAATATTTAAAAAAAGTATAGCCGCGCGGCTATACTATTTAAATGTAAGAATATATATATAGAGTATAGCCACCCGGCTATACGATTTAAATATAAGAATATGTATAAACTGTATAGCCGCTCGGCTATACTAATTAATTATATTTTTTCGTTTTTTCGCCCAAAAAAAATCAAAAGTTTATCATTCCGATGCCACAAAACCCTACAAATCAATATCAAATGCGGCAATAGAAATGTTGCAATCAAATAATAGTCCGAGGAATAGACAAAGAGAAAAAGAGAAAAATCTGGTGGAATCAAAATATAATAAAGTTATCCAAATTGGTGATCATAATCTGCCAGTCATTAGGTAGTTGTCATGCATATCATCTCGCGGTTTTCTACTCCTAATTGTGTGGCTTTCACTAGAAGTGAAAAATGATTAAGTGGGCATAGGCATCAAAGACAAGCCCACTCTCGCGCAATTTAACCCAAGAGATGAAAATGATGCAGTTTGTTCTGTTATGCGGTAAAAAGGCTCAGCATCTTCTTGGCATCTTCTTGGCCATTAATTATCAACAAAGCCAAAGGTATTGTTATAAAACAACTCCAAAAGCAAAGCTAAAGGCCAATTATGGTGAGCGAAAAAGCCACCCACGAAACCAAACTTTTTGGTGGAAATTTCTTGGAAAATTGCCATTTCGGTGATTCATGTTTTTCATGTTTTGTTGGGTTGGGATAAATGTGAGCTATATGCCATCATCATTTACATTTAGGTTGTCTTGCATGGCATGATTACAGAGACGACTAATGCAATGCAGAAGAAGTAGTTGTGCTGAAAACTCATTATTTTTGTGTCTCTTTTTGAACAAGTGAATTATGAGTGATGAGTGGCTCAGTGTGATTAGCTTACAACTCAATCATCTTTCTGTATAGCCTTCAAGTTCAAGGGGGTTGTCATTTTAATTATCTCTCAAACTGTAAATATATAGCTGGCTGGGCCATGGGCTTCATATACAACTTTATACTCCGAAGGCAGCTTTTTAAAGCTTGACGGTGTGCTGGTCTTTAAGCTTTTGGCATGTCCTACAACAAAAAACAGATGCTCATGATTTTGATGTTGACCTTAACCATCTTCAAAGAGCCTGATTTCTTTAAGTAACGTCCATACAAAGAAATACTTGAGTTGATGAAGAAAATATCCAAGACACACAGACTGAACATCCAAGACAAGTTAGATCTTGCAATGAATTCAAACACTCAAATTAAACAGATAGAGCTAAAATGGAATTTAAGAATAAATATTCAAGAAGAAGAAGAAGAAGAAGATGCTTGGGTTGGGTTGGGTTGGGTTGGGTGGACAAAAAACACACAACCCCATACTCTTTTGAGGGCAGTGAGGCTAGTGCCATCGTTTCTAAGAAAACTTGTCTCTTCTAGGCCAGACACAAGATTGAATTTGCTTTCAGATAATTCAGTTTTCATATTTCCATAAACCGTTCATCTTTACAGAAATCATAGCATGAATTTAATTTAGGCACATATAATTTAAGGAAGATGGCTAAGCTGCATGCAGTAAAATTGGAGAACTGCTACAAGTAAAAAATATTAAGAGATGCCTTGTCCCTCTGCAAAGGAACTTGGAAAAGTTCATATGGATGAAGAATCTATCTTCAAAAACAGATATACATAAAAAATCAATTCTTCCATTCATGCTTTCTATCCCTTTCACATGGTCAATAAATTAATAAATTCCACGGCCCCAACACCACACCACTATACCAAGATTAATACCTCAAAAGCAGCACAGTAGAATATTAAAAATCCATATACTCTGTGACAAACCTTCCTTACTTTTTTGGTGACTCTGGTGAGACTTTTATTCAGATGATCAAATGAAAGATGAAGTTAAACCGAGGCTTTTCTTAATTAACATAGATATATATAAAACATGTTATGGGTACAGCTACGTTAATTGTGCAGTTCTAGATATTCCAATCTCAAGAAGACCACTTTATTATTATATATAAAATGAAAGGTCCTGTTCCTGCTGCAACTCTTGTTAGATTATGTTGGGACTTTCAACAGAGATCGGTTTGTATTAAGCTAGTGTGGTCCTGTTCTCACCAACACCAAACTCATCAGTTACTTTCATCAAATTACAAGCAAAAAATACAACAATATAACACATTACATACATACCATCTTTCATTTCTGTCAGCTTTTTCACAAATTCAAAACATGTCTTCTCTTCAGTGCTTGTTTGGTTTGGTGGGGTGTAGCTTTTCCACCGTTATTAGAATAGAAAAGTCTTTTTCTTCAGAGCAAAAGCATTTTTTTTATGCGTTTTTCCTAGCTGTATAAAAGAAAGTGCTTTTCGAATATTTTGGCACAAGTTGAAAGACAACTTTTAACCGAGTTTCTTTTCTGTTAACTAAAATATCATCTATGCACTTCCGTTCTATGACTGCCTACCGCCTGAACGAGCAGCAGCACAATACATATGATCCTTATTCCTCTCATTTTACTTAGCTTTTTTTTTTTTAACCAAAAGGAGGCAGTCAAAGAGTAACAAGACTTGTATAAATTTTGAAATGCATGCCATGTTTTGCAATCAGAAATGGTCCAACTGCATGGGCTGGCAAATCCCTCAAGAATAGGGAGGCGAGAGAAAACAAAGAAACTATTATCACTCAATGAAGAGGGCAAATGATGTTATTCAATACCTCTCTCTCTCTCTCTCTCTCTTTCTCTCTCTCTCTCTACATTTGGGACCAATATCATATATTAGACTTTGGACCATCTTATTATCTCTCTATTATTTTCTCTGGTCAGTCAAAATTATAAAAATCTCAACTTTTGAATGTTATGAGTATAGGGTAGATCAAATGGAAACAAATAAGAAGAGACCAAATGAATAAAGAATATAAGAGTGAGAGAGAGCTAGGACAATAACTAATGGACATTGGAGTGAAGGCAGTGGTGGTGTCAGATTTTCTGGCATGGCAGGCACAAGCAAAGAGAGAGAGAGAGAGACAACGGTAGAAAAAAGAAGCACAAAGTACTCTATAAACACTATCTCTCAACCAATCCAAAGCCAAGTTAGTAAATGTCTTTATTTGAATTTTCCAAGCATGGCTTGATCTATAGAGCACGGGACACGTGGAATTTCGAGGATATTTTATTAAGATTGGACCAATTATGTTAGTGGGTTTCTGGGGTTAGTATGAGATTGCATGCACAGGATCCTTGCAATTTGAATTCGAACTGCGTATTTATGCGAGGGAATCTCCGTTTCCGGGACGACAGTGCCTCTCAACCCCACCGTAGCTCCCATCTGTGGTTGACCACGTGGCAAACGTAAGTCTACGAACATAGACCGACTTCTATAATAATTTCTTTCTATCTCGAAATAAATTTGAATTGATGCCCTTCATTTTTAAGCAAGACCTTGTCAAGTGACTGTAAATCATGAATCATTTTCTAATTGAATAGTGGAGAAATGAGAATCAAATATATGATATCTGATGCATGGGTTCATACTTTTGGTCACTTGATTTGTTATGTTAATCATGAATCTTTATTGCATAATCACTTTAAAATCATTAAAGTGCTTCTAAAAAAAGTTATACTTTCTCTATATTTCAGCAAAAATGCTATGAAAGATGTCTTGAGTTGTATGAAAGTTGCTTTGAATGGTACATATTCGACATCTAGATTATTTTGTAGCTAGCTTCAAGGATATCAAAATAACCAATGTTAATGGGAGCTAATCTACAAAACCCATTTTAACAAATTTCCAGTAAGTTTTTGGATTCTTGTTCTCTAAAATCCATTTGCATAAGTTAAAGCTTATATTTTTCGTCATTTAGATACAAGAAGAAAAAGGCAGGAAAGCTTTTTTTATTCTTGTTTGCAGTTACTAGTTTTACGAACCAAAACAAGGAATGTGGAGTTACTGGAGTAGCTCAGTTGGCAATCACACTTCCCATGGCATGAACTTTAAAATACTAACATGCAACTGCACCCACACCTGGTCTTGTACTTAGAATCTAGATCAATCAATAGTCAACCAATCCAACGGTCAAAACTCCAAAGCCCTTCTCTTTTTCTTTTCCTCTGTTTCTTATTTCACTTCATAGCTTTGGTACACACTTCCTCTGTAGAAAGTTAGGCACACCTTCTGTGACTGTCTCTTTCTTCTCACACAGTCACCACCTTCTGTTTGCTCAAGAGAGAGAGTGAGAACCATTGGTTCTCTGCAGGGCTTAAAACAGGGACGAAAATCCCAGTTACAAAAATAACAGTCAGAGATTGAGTCTCAGAGAGAAAAAATTAACCAACTTCTACCATTCTGAGCACAAACCAAAACATGGGTGTCACAGTTTTTCTTTTCTCCTTCCTAATTTTCTTTACGAACCCGTTATGGGTTTGTGGAAATGCAGAGCTCAGAGCACTTGTGAACTTGAAAGCCGTTTTGGACCCTCAAAGCTTGTACCTTTCTTCATGGACCGTTAATGGAGACCCATGTGACGGGTCGTTTGAAGGCATCGGGTGCAACGAAGCGGGTCAAGTTGCTAATATTTCGTTGCAAGGAAAGGGGCTCTCTGGGAAGCTCTCTCCCTCCATTGCAGGGCTCAAGCATTTGACTGGTCTTTACATGCATTATAACTCTCTGTACGGGGATATACCCAGAGAAATTGCCAACTTGACTGAGCTCAGTGATTTGTATTTGAATGTGAATAATCTCTCTGGAGAGATTCCTTCTGAGATCGGAAGTATGGGCAGCTTACAAGGTCAGCTAAAGATTTTTGTTCCGTAGAACTTCTAGTCTCTTGATTCTTTATTTTATTTAAGTATATATATTGGTTTGCTTTCTTTCTGTAATATTGCTAGCTTTGGTTGTTGGTTCTGTAGAAAGATGTGAACTTTGAGCACCTTGGTTAGGAATGTGTGTGTGTGTGTGTGTCCGTTTTAGAAAGTATGGGTTTTCTCTCTTTTGGGATTATTACTAGTTTGTTAATTTTAGTGGTGGGTTTGTTGAAAGATTTGAACTTTCGTTGTGTATGTTTGTTTCCAGGTTTCCACACTCAACGATCAATAAGAAAAAGAAAACGATTTCCTTCACTCTCTGCCTTCCGCATGAATTTTTATTTTCAACAATGAAAATAGTAAAAAAGAATCTCTATTTCATGTGTTTTGATTGATGTATGTAAACTTTTGGTTTTTGTTTCGCAGAAAACTAATCCATCATTCTCTATTTATGTAAGCAATTTCTTATTCCGTGTGGCTTGCACCGATTCCGCATGTGGTAGTTGCGAAATCTAGATGAAAAAGCACTTAAATTGTTGGCTGATTTATGCGTTTCTTGCCTTTTCCTAATTTGTGTCAAGTAAGGCTCCGCTTATCTTGTTCTGTTTTGGCTTTTCAGTTTTGCAGCTTTGCTACAACCAGCTCACTGGAAGCATACCCACGCAGCTGGGGTCTTTGAAAAACCTTACTGTTCTCGCTCTGCAATCTAATCGCTTAACCGGCGCAATACCGGCAAGTTTAGGAGACTTAGAAATGTTAATGAGACTGGATTTGAGTGTCAATCATCTTTTTGGTTCTATTCCCACCAAACTAGCTGATGTGCCCGTGCTTGAAGTTCTAGACGTTCGGAATAATACTCTTTCCGGCAATGTACCTCTTGGTAAGAATAGTCTTAACACCTAAATTTTATCTTTAAAATAAGAATTTGCAAAAGTTATTACTCATGTTAAATTGTTGAAAAAAGTGTTTAAACCCCTGATTGATTTCATTTTTATTGATTTGGTGAAGCTTTGAAGAGGCTTAATGAAGGATTCTCTTACGAAAACAATCTGGGATTATGTGGGGCTGGATTTATGTCCTTAACAGCCTGCAGTGCTTTTGGTCATCTCAACGCAAGCAGACCCGAACCCTTTGGAGCTGCTGCACCAACAAGAGACATTCCCAAGACTGCAAATGTGCCTTTGCCCTGCAATCAAACTCGATGCTCAAATTTGTCAAAATCCCATCAAGCATCTGTTGCTGTTGTTGTTGGTGTCCTTGTAGTAACTATTGCATTATCAGCTATAGGAGTTCTATTCTTCACCCAACACCGTCGCCGGAAACAGAAGCTTGGGAGCTCATTTGATATTTCTGATGGCCGTCTAAGTACTGACGAGGCCAAGGGCAAGGGAGTTTACAGGAAAAATGGATCTCCTCTCATCAGCCTTGAGTATTCAAACGGGTGGGACCCTTTAGCTGATGGGCGGAATTTAAGTTTGTTTGCTCAAGAAGTGTTCCATAGCTTTAGGTTCAACTTAGAAGAGGTGGAGACAGCTACTCAATACTTCTCCGAGATGAATTTATTGGGTAAGAGTAACTTCTCTGCAACTTATAAAGGAATATTACGAGATGGGTCTGTTGTGGCCGTTAAGAGCATTGGTAAATCATGCTGCAAGACAGAGGAAGCTGAGTTCTTGAAGGGATTGAACATGCTAACCTCATTGAGGCATGAGAATTTAGTGAGATTGAGAGGATTTTGTTGTTCAAAGGGCCGGGGAGAATGCTTTCTCATTTATGATTTTGTTCCAAATGGAAACTTGCTGCGGTATCTTGATGTCAAGGACGGCGACAGCCATGTTCTTGAATGGACAACTAGAGTTTCTATTGTGAAGGGCATTGCTAAAGGTCAGTATATGTTTCATATCTTTATAATCTTGCATTAAACTTATTCCATTTCTAAGGACAGGTTTGCTTGTTATAGCTTATGTTACTAAAAATCCAATTGAAAACGGTTCTTGTTCAGTTCTGAATGCTTATGTGTTTGAGAGATGCATAACCAACCATCAACGCGTGAATTCAAGGAGAGTTAGTTTATGATTTATCTATACTGAGCTTTGTTCTTTTTAACCAGGTCTATCGTATTTACACGGCTACAAGCCAAACAAACCTGCTCTTGTTCACCAAAACATCTCAGCTGAAAAGGTGCTGATTGACCAGAGATACAACCCCTTGCTCTCAGATTCTGGCCTGCACAAGCTTCTTACCAATGACGTTGTCTTCTCAGCACTCAAGGCCAGTGCAGCTATGGGCTACCTAGCGCCTGAATACACCACTACAGGACGGTTCACAGAGAAAAGTGACGTCTATGCATTCGGGGTGCTTGTTTTCCAAGTCCTATCTGGGAAGCGGAAAGTCACTAGCTCAATGCGTCTTGGTGCGGAGTCAGTCACGTTCCAAGACTTTATTGACCAAAACCTCAATGGCAGGTTCTTCGAATACGAAGCATCCAAGCTTGCAAAGACTGCTTTGCTTTGCACCCATGAGTCTCCAATTGAGAGACCATCCATGGAAGAAGTTGTTCAGGAGTTAAGTAATTGTAATAGTTGTGTCTGATGCCTAAGTGCTCTCTATTTTCGCCAACAATCACCTCAAAACTATTCAAATAGGTGATGGGCTAATGGTTAGCCAATACACTAACTGCTAACTTCGGATGTAATTGTAGGACTTCATATGTTGTAATTTTCTGTGTCCTTTTCCTGAGGACGTGTTTCTAGACTAATGTGTTAGGTGAATATTTGCTATCTCAAGGTGACCTTCCCTGGGTTGAATGACTCAGTGATTTATGTTGACCTCCAATGTTTATACCTCCTTTTACTTTTTTGCTCTCATACATTATCATTTTCTCAGCTCTGTTATATTTCGTGTTCAAATAAATGGGTATCATTTTGAAAGATTCTGTCTCCTAATCATAGAGAAAGTTGGTATGAATTTGGAAGAATTTAAGACTAATATTTCTTTTTACCTTCTACTTACCCACTTTCACATGGAAGAACCTAATCATACAGATACATTATTATGTCAACAAATTAATCTAGCTACGAGGGTTGGCATTACTACTCTAGGTCACTAGGATTAGGCTTTGTAATGACTATGATGACCAAGTAGTTCATACCCTAAGCTTTGGATTCTCTTTCCTTAGTTAATTTTTGTTTTTGCCAAAGTTAGGAAGGGGAGGGGGATTTTCATACACTGTCAAGGTGCCATGGAGGTTCGAATTTGAGACCTCCGATCTGCTAGTCAAGGGTCTTTTTCATTGAGCCCCATTGTAGCATCTCCCCCTAGTTAATAGTTCTGTATTATAGAAGTGGAAATGTTTAATAGGAGTCAGACCCAATCAGAGTTGAGCTATCGACTCATGACGATACCATTTTGGGCCAATAAGTAGGAAGGAGAATCGAAAATTATTATTGCGCTTTCAGCCTAAAGAAGCCTCCTAGCCTTTGACAAGCGAAAGGTTTTCGTCTTCTCCAAATTTATCAGCTTTAGGGCCGAAGGTAGCTGCAGCCCAACTGAAAAGCAAAGCTGAGAGAGAAATAGAGAAATAGTTATCAAATAGGGCTTATGGAGCAGTGTGTTCCACAGAGTTTAAGGTTTTATCCTAGCCTGTGTGCTCTTATCTCAAAATGGCTTGGAATAGAAGCTTGGATTGGATTCATGATATTGACCTTCTAACTGGCTTGCGAGCATATGCAGAAGATCCTGACCTTCAACAAGAATGGATGATGGTACTCTCTAGGCTTGATATTTGTACAGCTGCTTAGAAACCAAAAATATATTATGCTTTTGGTTGTATTATTATTATTTAAATCTATTATATGTATGCTCATTGTAGGTTAAGAAGGTTAACAAAATGAGGCTCGCTGAGTACAATGAGTGGTGTGAAGGTTTGGTCATAAAGTTCTTAGGACTTCTATATGTTCATCTTTTCTCTTTTGCCTAGAAGGTATGTCTAATAGATTACACTGAAATTTATCACTTTCAACTACAGGTTAGTTTAGATGCAATGTTTGATGTCCAGACATGAACAGGATAGAAGAAAGAAAGAAAGGATTCTGACTACTATTTCAAGATTTTAGATTGGTATATACTTGTTTGTAGTTAAGCATAAAACCTAAGTTTTGTTTAAGGTCAGTAAAAAATATAAAATTATAAATAAATAAATAAATAAAAAGGGACCCAACCCGCCTAGGCAGTGAAGCACAAGTCAAATAAATACAGTATAGCCGGGCGGCTATACTATTTTTTTCCGAATATATTTAAATAATCTCGCCGCATGGCTATACTAATTTTTTCCGAATATATTTAAACAGTTTTTCAAATATATTTAAACGGTATAGCCGGGGGGCTACACTAATGTTTTTTAAATAGTATAGCCGCACGTCTGTACAATTTAAATATTCGAATATATTTAAAAAGTATAGCGCGAGGATAAATTAATTTTTTCCGAATATATTTAAATTTTAAAAAATAGTATAGCCGGCCGGCTGTACTGTTAAATATTTGAATATATTTAAAACGTATAGCCCAACGGCTATACCAATTTTTCAAAAATATAATTAAAAGGTATAGCCGCCCGGCTTTATGACTTTTTCCGAATATATTTAACAGGTATAGCCGCACGGTTGTACTATTTAAATATTCGAATACATTCTAAAGGTATAGCCGGACGGCTATACTGTTTAAAAGGTATAGCCGCGCGGCTGTACTGTTGGAATATATTTAAAAGGTATAGCCGCGCGGCGGTACTGTTGGAATATATTTAAAAGGTATAGCCGCGCGGCGGTACTGTTGGAATATATTTAAACGGTATAGCCGATCGGCTATACTAATTTTTCCAAATATATTTAAACGGTATAGCCGATCGGCTATACTAATTTTTCCAAATATATTTAAACGGTATAGCCGCCCGGCTGTACTATTTAAACATTCGAATTCATTTAAACATTATAGCCGCGCGGCTATACTAATATTTTCCGAGTATATTTATTTTTTTAAATGCGGCTATACGGTTTAAATAAATATTTATATAGAAGTATAAAATTTTAATGGGAATCAGAGTCAGACCCGGTAAGAGTTGAATTATCGACCCATTACGATTCCATTTTTGGGGCAATAAGTAGGAAGGAGAATCCAAAATTATTATTGGGCTTTCAGCAAAAGAAGCCTCCTAGCCTTTGATAAGCGAAAGGTTTTCATCTTCCCCACACTTTATCTGCTTTAGGCTGAAGGTAACTGCAGCCCAACTGAAAAGCAAAACTAAGAAACCAAGGTGGTTGGTGTGAGTGGTTCGGCACTCTCATTCCTTAAGAGAGGTCAGGGGTTCGATCCCTGCTCTCGTATGGAGTCACCACTTTGGCCAGCACTTTACCCCTTACGGGCCGACCCGGTGTGAGCGGGGATTAGTCTGGATTGTGGTTAAGGCTTAAATGTGCCACCCATAGTTAGGGCCCATCCAGGACCACCTCGCGGTTCAGATCATAAAAAAAAAGCAAAACTAAGAGAAGAAAGAAATAGAGAAAAAGATCTCATAAATTGAAGAAGCCAATAATGAAGAAATAAAAAAGAAAGACGGCCAGAAATAGAGTTAGAAAATCAGAGTCTAAACTCTTATAATAAGAATTCAATGATGAGATATTGCTCCTGTGACCTGTTTTTGTCCTCAGAAACCCAACAGAAATATATGTAAGATCCGATCAATTTATTTCCCTAGCAAACACAACATCTATTCTATCATAACAAACAACTTTTTCTTTTCAATTTTCTCATAAATGTGATTGAATTCTAAGAAACTATAAGATAATAAGGGGAACGTGCGGGTGAGAAGGTGATGAGAAATGAGGTTCAAAGCAATCAAAGATATATAATATTTTAGAGGGGACAGGGTCTGCATGGACCAACTGATCTTCTCAAACTATGTATAATGTATGCATGTGTTTTCTTGTGCAATACGAAGCGTATGCTGGTTGGGCAGAGACCTGATCTGCAGATTCTGCACAACCTTTTAAATCTTTTTCATTCATCAAAAATTGCTCTTCAGCCCTGTTCTTCAAACAAACTAAACCATCAATTGTAAATAGACTTAATATAACTGTTACATGTACATCACTTGCTATATACATTTTCCCAAAAAGGAACTAATAATATCTATCTGATGCTAATGCTTCATTTTTGTTCTGAGAGAAGAAACACAAGGGAAAATTAAGTCTTCTCTCTTAAAACAAAACCAATTGATATTTGGAGCAAGTAATTCAATTAAAGTTTAAGCTTATGCTGCGATCCCCTTCCCTTGTGGAAATGATGATCTGACCCTAAACACATGCTCTTCACCTGTGCACTTATCTACCTTGACAACCCAGTGGCTCTTCTTTCCACTACCATTGATCCCATCCATTTTGCTGATTTCATTCTTTGGGGCTGCAATTCTTGTCACCAACAATCCACCTCCTATAGGCAGCAACTGAGTTCTCGATCCGCCGGACCGCCACGATCCTTTGCCAAAAGCGTTATGCCCCACAACAATAGCTCCATTTTGCTTCTTCCCCATCTGCACTGCTCTAAGAATGGCCTCATGGTTCTTAAGGTTGCAATCAATGAGCACAAAATCAGCCTCCTTGTAGTAGTTTAGAAGAAGATTTTGGGCCTCCCCAATCACAAACTCAATGTGACATACGTTGATGCCAAGGATTTTCTCGGATAAATGCAACTCTTCGTTCCCGCGAAGGATGCAGACCACTCTACCGCCTGTTTGCTGAGCAGCAGCAAGAAGGGCTAGAATGGTGGAGTCAGCAGCGCCAGCACAAGCCACAACCATTAGCTGTGCATTGTTCCCGGCTGCTAGAGCTGAAATGAACTCAACCACATCGGGCTCGTTTGCCTTCTGGCCCTGAATTAAGATCACAATAAAAACCAAGTTAGAAATTATTGATAATTTGATATGGGAATTAGGAGAAAAGTGCAAAAAAATCCTTTGATGTTTTTGGAAAATAAAAGGAGACTCACCATTTTTAAGGTTTTGAGGTAGGCTTTTGTGGCATTCTCAGCAGACCAGCAAGCCATTTGTGTGTTCTATGTGTTTTTAGCTAGCTCTTTTTTTTCTTATTTTTGTGTTTCTCAAATCTCAATATGAAGCTTCAACTTTGGCTTTGGATAGAACCTAGAAGCACTCACATATATATAGGGGCACTCGACCCCGGTTGCTTTTAAATTCATACACTGGTAATCCAACTGGCCATGTTAGAAAATGAGATAAAGAACACTAACAAGTACCAACTAGGATAAATAATTATGGTCCTTTAGTACTAGTTTGTCTGCCCAAAGTATTGGCTAAGTCATGGTAGTTAAAGAAATCTTGTGCGTGCATTCACTCATTCTATTACCAAATTGTAAATTAGCTATTTTTAAAGGCGATGGCTTATAGCTACAACGAATCGCGCCTACTTTTATGCACAACAAGAGTTTGATTCTCGCTTTTATCTATTAACATTCTAAATATAAAAACAAAAAAAAACCAACAAAACCTCTTAATTATAAGGAAAAAAAAAGGAAATTATGAATAAAGGAGTAGATAGGAATCGGATTCTTAATCTTACCGTTGACACAAATTAAAAGAACTTAAGAGATCATTAGCTTCCGGGAGGCAACTCATAAACGTTTAATTAAATATTTTAATACATGATACAATATATAAGATTCTACTTTGCACGACGCTAATTATTTGGCTCTTGAAATATTTTCCAAATCTCCATTGATTAGCTGTGATGTCCTATATGTAAAGACAGCATAAGGTGGATTATAAGCGCCCATGTTATCTGAGGCAAAAACCAGCAAACTTATATTTAAATAAAAACTCTAGAGATCATCTCATGAGCAATACACACATGCAGTCCTCTTGTGTACGGGCTGTACGTACAAACCTCTTGACCAAAACTTGTCCAATTACTGAAAATATTTTTTCGTAAAAAAGAAGGTTAGTCTTAATATATGTTTATCAACCCTAAACCCTGTTTATATATACAAGAAATATGTGGGTTAAGTATAAATATATTGCAAGAGGGTCTCATCCTTGCCCCCAGAAAGGCCAACAGAGATCTTAGATCCGATCGAGTGGTTTCCCTAACAAAACACAGTCATAACAGAGCAACACAAAACATAAATTGTCATGTCTCGTGGTCTATCTCTTGCAGTGTAAGATTCCCCATCCTCTGTCCAATCCTGCTAGAGAGATCAGATGACAGAGATGATGACTGAATGAATGCTTCTGTGTGGTCGAATCAAATTGACTTGATTTTTTTATTTTTTTGTTGTCTGTATTTTCCAGAGTTTATTTTCCTTTCCATGATTGGCTTTCCAGGAAATATCTCGTGAAGAAGTTAAGGGAGCATGGAAGAAGCACTGAGACAGTGATGATAAATGGGGAGTGGGTTCAGCATTGTGTAGACAAACAAGTTGTGGGTCTGTAGGGTTCTTGGTTGGATGCTACGCATCCTTGGAAGGGGACATGGTATGCGTGGCGTGGTAACTTCAACATTGTACCATGTCTTCTTTGCCTCGCTTTCTAGTCTAAAAAGTTCGAATAAGAAAAATGACAAGAATCTATAATGCATGTGCATGTATGTATTCATAAGCGGCTAGAAAATGTGGAGTATGGAGTGGTTTTGTGCCCATATATTGTTTTTCTCTTTGATGAGAGTCGTTACACTTTCTTCGTTCCACACATCACGAACCACGTTGTAAATCATATCTTTATTATAAGTGAGACGCATATCAGGTGTCTATAAAGCACCCTTAGACCTCGTTTGGTGGCTTCACTTGGACTAGATTGGAGTTTAGTTCAAACAAGTCCTTATGGGTTCCATTGATCTAGATTGTTGGTCGTTTTAATAAGTTCAGCCTTGTACCAATATACCAAACAACGGCCATGACACTCCTAGCAGTAGGAAGTTTTTTAGTAGGGAATAGAAATTATAGCCCAAACGTTCCTCGTTTATTTCTGAGATTTAAAGCCCACCAAGACTTTGGATAAGAAGCTGGAAACCCAAATTAATCTAGAAAGGTTGGGCTTAACTCCCAAATGAGCTCAATCTGAAGCCGGATAACATTTAGAATTGGGACTATAATTGTATTATTCACTTTGGACTACAATTGGATAACAGAATACTGTACTATTCATTTTGGACTACGATGAGATAGGACTTTCTTATCGAAACGCCCAATCGTGCAAAAGTCGGTCTATCTTCCCGTAGCGTATAAATAGTCGTCGTCGGTCGTGAACTTCTGTTAGCATTTCGTCTACAGTTTCCAAATTCTCAGCAAAAACCTAACCAAATTCTAGTTCCAGATGGGCAATTCTTGCTTTGGGCTTTTTACCTGCGTAGACCAAGCAAGCATAGGCATCTTGGAGAGGTGGGGCCGGTTCGAGAAGCTGGCCGAACCCGGTTTCCATCTCCTGAACCCGTGCGCTGGTCAATGGGTCGCCGGTGTCCTCTCCACCAGGATTTCCTCTCTCGATGTCCGCATCGAGACCAAAACCAAGGTCTGTTTCAAATTCATAAAGAAAATGCAAGAATTGGAGTAATTTTATATATATGTATTTTATTAGTGTTTGAATGTTTGTACAATTTGGCAGGATAATGTGTTTGTGCAATTAGTGTGTTCCATTCAATACCGGGTGGTGAGAGAGAATGCTGATGATGCTTTTTATGAGTTGCAAAACCCCAAAGAGCAGATTCAAGCTTATGTCTTTGATGGTAAGTCGTAATAACCATTTTGTTTTATTAGTTTTTAATTTTTATTTAGTTACATATGATGAGGAGGGATGGTGTGTTGGCTTGTTTTTTGTGTAGTGGTTAGAGCTCTGGTGCCGAGAATGACATTGGATGACCTCTTTGAACAGAAGGGTGAGGTTGCTAAAGCTGTCTTGGAGGAACTTGAGAAGGTAACCAGATTCTTGGATGTCTTTTGTATTTTTAGGGTTCTTAAATATATTGGTTTCTCAGGCCTGTGCATTGGGTTATCATAACATATGACATTATGAGATGAAGTGTTTACTGTATGATTCTTACCATCTTATCATCGCAATTCTCAATGAGTTGTTCTTGAATTAGGTTTGGTTATTGTGGTTGCTTCTTACTCGTTTGTTTCAGACAAAATTTTGTTGATCTATTCTTTAGTTCCTTACAAGAATTTTCATTCTATATGGTTTATTAAATCTTATGCTGAAATTGCTGATCAGGTTATGAGAGAATATGGATACAGCATAGAGCACATACTGATGGTTGACATTATACCGGATGCCTCTGTGCGCAAGGCAATGAATGAGATTAATGCAGGTAATTTGTCTTTTTTCTTTTTTTGGTAATCTTAAACCTGGACATTGTTTCGATTTGTATCTGCAGTAAGAAGACACATTTGGGGACTCGTTTTATTGTAGGACTAAAAGTTTTTATTAGCCCCAAGTCTTGTGAACAAGCTTTTGGGACTGTGTTATAGATAGGCGAGATAACCTTTTAGACAAATCAAGGGTTTGAATGACTGTTATAAAGTAATCGTCCTCACTTCCCAAAAGAAAAACAAAACAATGACAGCAACAATAGTACTAACTCCTGATTGCGCATAATACTGAGAAATCTCTCACTCTACTTGAAGAAGCCTGTTAAGGAACGGCAACTAGCCACTAGGCTCTTGCTTTTGCGATAAAAGAGATTTTACCCCATGTGCTACGGTTTACTCAGTTATGTCTCTTCTGTCTTTCTATTTGTTATATAACAGTTATTTTGTGACTCAAGGAGTTTATATGTTCTTGACAAGTTATTCTTGATGACATCTAGCTCATAATGCTTTGTTTCTGTTGTTATGCTAAGCTATAAATCAACTTTGGGCTTGATTCATTATACCTCTGTATATGTTCAAGTGGCCAAACTTTGTTTTATTATCTGATTGAATCAAAATTGTAAAGATATAACGGTGCTTCTCTTAACCTTGGACCGTTAAAAACCATGACTCAATGTCATCTTAAAAACTCTACCTATTTGTTCTATATCTCTACTTAGTTCCAAAAGTCAATGAATTGCTGCAGTCTTTATATTTGTTAAGGGCTGGTAATTAAAGGAGTCTAGCCTATATGCTTGTGTTTGTTACTGAAAAATCAAGCATCTGTACTGCAGCTCAAAGGCTCCAGCTTGCTAATGTATACAAAGGAGAAGCAGAGAAGGTGCTTCAGGTGAAAAGGGCAGAAGCTGAAGCTGAGGCCAAGTACCTTGGAGGAGTTGGTGTTGCCAGGCAGAGGCAGGCAATCACTGATGGGTTAAGAGAGAACATCTTGAATTTCTCAGGCAAGGTGGAAGGAACCTCAGCAAAGGAGGTGATGGATCTGATCATGATCACTCAGTACTTTGACACAATTAAAGACCTTGGCAACAACTCAAAGAACACTACTGTTTTTATACCCCATGGTCCTGGTCACGTCAGAGACATCGGTGATCAGATACGCAATGGACAACTGGAGGCAGCTAGTGCTCGAGTAAATGGCGAGTAAATATACCCTGTTGTTTATACGATCCTGATCTCAATAATTTTTTGTTGAATTCAAAATGACACGAACAGGTTAGGGTCTTTATATAGAACATAGTTATGCAATCCCGTTTGTTTAACTTTAGTGCATTTGTTTTTGCATTTGTTTTTGTACATGTAGAGCATGGTGTGCTTACACCATGCTGATGATGTATCTATGTAAAGTAATAGTAATGCAGCCCAATATAACACAGGTCTGGTCTGAATAAAAGTTTTTGCTATTGATCAAGGATGTTGTGTTTGAGTTTTGAATTGTTTAAATTATGGGCCATTAGCAAGCTTTGAGCTTCTATAATGAGGAGGCTATTTGAGGAGGTTATTTGAGGAGGCCCATCTCACCATCAAAAGGGGTGTGGACCCCCCAATGCACAACCCCCCCTCCATGTACTTTGTTTTTGGTTGTTGATGGTGAGATTTCACTTCCTCAAATAACCTCCTCACTCAACCTCCTCATTCTAGCCTTTCCGTTGCCTCCCAGGATCCACTGGATATTATGGACTTGCCTGGGTCATTGGGTTAGGGCACCCAAGGGCCCAAATTGGATATTGGTCGTATAGGTGAAATGTTGAC